ACGTGTGCTCTTCCGATCTATTATAAATGGCTGTCGAATAAATCAATCTTATGATTGGCCATTCGACGCCATTTTTAATATTTTCTAGTACTTTTGCGATACTGCCATAAGCCGGTCGCGCTTCTCTGATAATCTAGGACTCTACATAATACATAAAACATAAGGGGCTTTCTACAATAAGCAGTTAGTCACTACTCATATCATACTAACTAAGAATTGACCAATCGTAGTCAAATATTTTTCTTACATTCAACTGTGATTGGTCAATTCTTACGATTAACGGCTTACGATCTGACGTACGACGTATTGTAGACAGTCCCAGACAGCGTCTTATATCTTGTGCGTTATGCAGCGTTATGCAAAAGTCTGTGTCTCGGCCTTAAGAAAGCATAAGCATAGCATAAGGCAGCTAGACCAATGAGCATTTAACATAAAGTCGCCATTGGCCTAATTTACACCGAGCACTTGATATGATAACGCGTACTAACTAGAAACTGTCTATTAAATTATCTTAATTTCTACAATGCATTTAAAGAATTATATACATACATACTAAGCTGATACACTATTAAGAGGATTAATTAAATACAACTGGGCCATAGGCCTAGTTTACACCGAGTATTTGATACGTCATACGCGTACTAACTAGTAACTTTCTATTAAATTTTTTTAATTTCGACGATGCATATAAACTTATACATGATATATGTATTTAATTAATCATATTACTGCATAGTGTATCAGTTTAATACATCATTCTTTAAATGCATTGTAAAAATTAAGATAATTTAATAGAAAGTTTCTGGTTAGTAGTACGCGTATCAAGTGCTCGATGTAAACTAGGCCATTGATCTAACCGCCCTCGGGTGATGTTTCCGAACGCAATCTATACCAAGAACATTGCGAGCGCCACCGGCCACATGTTGCACAATCTTCAATGTGTTGGTAATTCGAGCCAAGTGATCCTATTGGTCGCTTGAGATATTGCAATCAGCGAGCAGTATTACTGAATTATCGCGTTACGCCGTTTCTCTTGCGTCTTTATTTTACCGCATGTCACATTTAATGAGTCTGAGCTCACTGCCGTAACATCGCTGTGCCCCGTATTCTGAAAAAAAATCAGCTTGGCGACCTTTTACGTGGGCCCGAGACCGCGCTTTCAAAAGTCACGTGATACGTAGCATCGTGCCTTATTAGTTGTCTCGACGTGACGGCAACGGATCGTACCAATCAGAACAATACAGTCGCGAAGAAGGTGAACACTAACGTGTGTCCGGATTCAGGAGATCTGCCAGTTCCGAGTTGCCTGTGGGATCGACATGGTATCGTGATTTGAGTGGATCATTGAAAAGAGGCAATCGACAGGTAAAAGGTTTTAATTCTATTTCTTCAATGGTTTATACATTTCTTGCATCTAGCATAATCTAATGCGTCGTTATTCATAGTAAGTGAGATTATTACGTTTCATCCAGAAAAAATATCTCGGCATGCGTTGAGACAAGTACCGACATGCGTATTTTTCATCTCTCTTTGTACTCGGTCGTGCTATCGTGTAATTTATCCAAGTAAAGCGATAAAGTGAACGAGTCAATAGTTTTATTGTAAAGTTAAGCGGTGTAATAAAATGTCTAAATGAATTACGACTAAGCGCGACTGAGGCATGTGCGTGAGACAGACGCATCTCGTGTTATACAAAGAAAGATGTATGGCTGAGATCAAGAAGCATATAAAGCGAAATTTGAGCATGCTCGAGCGTTAAAACATAAACACGGTCTCTCTGACCGATTCGGTCACTGTGCTTACATCCTGCATGCTTACGTTTTTTCTTTGTGCCGCCTCTGCATAAGAAAAATACAGTGCGAAATAGGCAAGTACAAACATTTTAAACGCTACGATGAGAGATTTCACGAAGAGCATCAAAACTTGAGATATTTTTATCATCAGATTTACAGAAGCATAGATTTTGCTCGGTTTTTCGGTACGTAGATAAGTTTCTTAGCTATGTCGTACGTTTATTTTTTTGTGTTGAAAATGAAAATGTTCGACGATTACACGTTGGAAAGCTAGGAACGAAAGATCGGTCGAAAATACTAGAATTTTTTTAATCTTTTTTTTTTTATCAAGAACTCCGGTTTCAATTGTCCGTTGAGGACAGTAGAACTGTATTGAAAGGAACGGGTCAGAAATTTCTATAGTTTCATTTAACGCTCGCAATGCTGGCGAGTATTATTTATCTTTGTTTATTTAACAAGGATGAAATCATTCCGGGAGCGTTGTGAACGTTAAAGTGAAAAAAACAAAAAAACAAAAAATGCAGTCATAGTGAGCAAAAAATGGATTAGGCACGCCGCCGCCGCCGTCGGGAAATGTTTGTACTTTGTGAAAAGGTGACTGCTTCTGTTTATAACGTTGCATGGCAACAAATTTCAATAGATCATTTCTGAAAATCTATAACTGCCGGTGGACATTATAATTTTTATATAATGAACTATAAAGTTTTATAAAATTTGTACCAGATTTTATTAGAGATTGTGAATTGCACGTTAGAATTATATATAATTGATCAGAACAAAACAAGTTAAAATCAAATTTATCTGATTATTTGAATTCTAATTTTCAGTTCACAATCCTCAATCTCTAATGTATAATATAGACTTTGTGGATTTCAGATCTAATGTACTCTTATGTTATTCTATTAATAATGTATTGTTTCAATATTTTATGTAACGTTTTAGTTATTTTTTTGTTTAATTTTATATCAATTTATGTCTAATTTTCATCATTAAATATTCAATTAAACTACTTTCACGTATTACAATTTATCTCGTAATATGACTTACAAATCTAATCTTTTCTGCTTGAGTCTTCATTTTTTATGCTTACTCTTGCTTAATCATCGACCATTGAGTGCATTTTATGCATGTTGAGCATGATATACTATTTTATCCTTGTTCTCTGTTAAATAAGATTAAGATGACACATCATGCGTAAAATAGAATGTATCTAAAGTGTGTGGTCTGTTACGGTATCCAAACAAATTGCATGGTCATATTTTTTTGCATAAAAAAATTATCTAATCGCATTTCCTTAGTAAAGACACACGTGAAATGGGATTGGATAATTTTCTTGATGCATATAGTTATACAGTTTATGCAAATTTGTCTGGATATATGCTCCTAAGCCTACTCTACAATCGCTGTAAGTCGTAAAAATTGTTCAATTGTAGTCAAATATGAGGAGAATAATGGCTTACGCTTACGGAGCCATAAGATTTTTTTACGGCTTATGGCTATTGTAGAGTAGGCTCTACGGCTGCTTCCACTTGGGCGTTCCCAATGCTCACGAGTATCGTTTGTCTTTGTATGTGACGAATGTCCGAACTCGTTCAAAAGGGTTCTCCATTGTAAAGAAATTTTCTGGGTATTATATAATTTCGAAAGGTGAAGGCTCATGTCCACCATTCGGTCACATCCGGTGGAGTAATAGAAAATAAATTTTTTTGGTGCTACGTGATCCCGGGACAGGGTTGAAGGTGCCTATACAGTCACCATCCGGTGAAAGCAAAATAAAATTATTCAAAACATACTCTGAATATCAAAAGCGATATTCAACGTGTTAATATATTAATTAGATAAAAATTTTATTATTTTATATGTTTGTATAGTATTTTGCGTGTGTGCGTGCGTGGCGTGCATGTGCGTATTGCACACGTATATGTGTATATATATATATATATATTTTTTTTTTTTTTTTTTTAATACTGATACAGTATGTATGTACATACAGACGGGGACACTAAGCCTTAACACTCGAAGTTACGCGTATATCGAGCGTGTTCCAATCAGAAACGCGTTCTTTTTTCTCATCGCGTAACTTCAAGTGTTGAGGCATTAGTGTCCCTGTCTGTACCAGAATAATCTCTATACATATATACAGTGTCTCATTTTATATTTAACAGTCAAATATTTGAAAATCGCGAGATTTGAGAGAAAAATGTTTCAGACAAAAGTTGTAGGGTTTCGAGAGGGTTATCATAAGATGATAACATTGGTTTGATCCTGAATGGCGTCGCCAAGGTCACTTTGAATTTTTAAATGGAACTCCCCATTTTTCATTACATATTCTCGTAGCACACCTCGAGAACTTTCCAATACACTATAATAAAATATTTTTCCATTAATCACTTATCAAGTTATAAGGCTTA